AAAAAAAAAAAAAAAAAAGTTGAAGAATGAAAAAAAAAAGCTGCGCATATCTCCATGCATATATTCACACTAACGCTGCACACGCGATTTATGCAAACGTACGGGTTTTCAAACTCGAAGCACAAAAATTTCTGTGCTTTCGGGTTTCGATACAGACTAGAGCTTTAAAAAATGGTTAATGCAACTTTCTATGAACTGAAATACGTGAAAGAAAACGTAAAATTGAGAGGAAATGGACAAGATTTTCTGTGATTTAGTAATTTACAGTCATTGCTTTGCGCGAAGAAGCTTCTGGTTATGCAGTTTTGGAATGATTCAGAGAAGAGAGATAGATAAACACTAGTCACGGCTCGCTTCGGTGTCTCTTGTCTGGGAGCTCCGTTATCTGCACTGTTACAACAGAGTAAGAGAAAGGAATACTTCTGTGACTTTTATTTGGCCGGGAGTGCGTACATTCACTATACTGTTACGTTTAATTGACATAAACACCCTCAATATTTCTTTGTTTTTTCGTATATGCCACTACCTTCACGGGATTTGCAATTTTTGATTTCTTTCTCTTTTACTGTGCTTCCATTTTTTCCTCAAACCAGTTTCGTAATTTTTCTTTAGTGAAGAATACTTTTGGGCACAGTTCATCCTTTTGACTGTTTTTTTCTTTTTTCAGACAACCGACGGTGAAACCCACATGATATGCTCATACTGTTCTTTATTTCTCTACTTTCTTTTGTGGCAAAATACATAATTTAATTACTAACCTTCCAGCGAAATCCCTATTACATATCTCTCTTTCACAGGAAACCTTTTACACACTCAATCTTTCAAAAGTATGTCTAAAACACACTACTTTTGACTAGATAGCACTTGCGTGTTTACACAAAAAAAAACGTGAAACTCATAAAAAAAACCTATTTTTTGTCTCCCCTCGCCACAAGAACCCCTCCCCTCCCTCTTGTCTTCTTCCTCACCACCCTCCCCCTCATTTTCTTCCACCAAAAAGAATTTTTGAAAGAAAATATCGATTTAAGATCTAAAATTGAGCGGATTTTGTTGGCTTATTGTCCAAATATTGTAAAAATTATTTATTTGTGATAGATTTAAAAGCCTTAATATTAGTATTGAAGGTTTGGTGAAAAAATTTAGAATCCACCATTGTTGGGATATCGAAAAAAGCTTGAAAATTCAATTGAGTCTTGTTGATTATTGGGTTATTAAACTCAATTTGTTGTTCGATTATTTTTGGCTAGTTGTTTAGATAGTGTAATTGAATTTTGGTAATGTTGGAAATATTCTCACAAGCAACCATGGTGATAGCAACAATGGTGCTTAAGATAGAAAATGAAAAGATGAAAAAGATGGATTTTAATTTTAATTTCTAATATTTTTTTTAAAGTCAATGACACGTGTCGTGTCCCTGTTAGAGCGTGAATTTCACGTTATCTGAAAAATTGGTCAAGCACAAGAGCGGTGTGACTTAGACACACTTTTAAAAGATTGAGTGTGTAAAAGGTTTCCCGTGAAAGAGAGGTGTGTAACAGGAATTTCGTTGTAAGGTTGATGGATAAACTATGTATCTTGCTTTCTTTTTTAAAGTCAAACATTAACAATTAACATGTTGATGCATTTTCTTTTCTTTTTTTGTGAATGCTTGTCATCTGAGAAACAATATATTGTCCACTCTTTACTTATTTGTGAGTTTGATAATTCCTGGAGTAAAATTGGACTAAAAGAAAGTGAAAATAACCATAATATTTAATTATTTAGATAACACTCAAAATAAAATTTATATAAATTTGCGACTCAATTATTATAAGAATTTGTTGAGGCTGGTAGTTAGTAGTAGTTGTGTAGTTGTGCAGTTGTGTGCCAGCTGTTAATGAGTCGGTATTAATGTGGAATTAAGTTAAGAAGTTAGTTAATTATGTGTATAAATAGGGAGTATTATCTTTCATTTCTAGATTCTTCTGTAGCTCAGCTTTGATTCAATGAGAATACATTTTCTCCTTCTTCTCTCACTCGCTCATTTCCTTTTCAATACATCACCATAGATGATCTCCATTAACATGGTATCAGAGCTTAGGTGAAGCTACCTGGTTCAGCAATTAGGAGAAGCCTGATGCGAAGAGAAGGTAGTTAAAATTCTCACGAATTGAGCTCGATTTCACTGGTTTTTTGAATTTGTGATCTACAAAGATAATTCCTCTGTAATTTAATCTCAATTGTTGTCATTTTGTTGTTCGAAGAGCTGCCAATTGATCACTGCAATAGCTGTCGATGGAACTTCCTCTACTCCAGCTACTCCAGCTGCTCCAACACCATATCAGAGTGTAGACCAGAATGTAGATCTAGTTCATCACCATCACCCACTCTATATCCACCCGTCTGATACACAAGGTACAATCCTCATCTCAATTCAACTTCAAGGTTCTGAGAATTATTCATTGTGGAGTAGATCTATGAAGATTGTTTTGCATGGTAAAACAAGTTAGGTTTTGTGCTAAGAACATGTAGCAAATACATGTTTGATCCTAGCTTATACGAGCTTTGGGATAGGTGTAATGCTATTGTATTGGCTTGGATAATGAATACTGTGGCTCCAAATCTGCTTAGTTCTGTGATATACGCCTCTAATGCTCACAAGGTTTGGGAAGATCTTCGTGAGAGATTTGATAAAGTCAATGCATCTAGATCCTTTTACTTACACAAGGAAATTGAAAAACTAACACAAGGTTTATTATCTATGTCTGAATATTTTTCAAAACTGAGAGTGTTGTGGAATGAATATGAGGCTTTAGTTCCTCATCTTTTGTCTGGTTGTCCAGAATCTAAGCAAAATGCAGAACATTATCAAATTGGGAAGTTGTATCAATTTCTTACTGGCCTAAATGATACCTTTGATAATGCCAAAGATCAGATCCTCATGACTAGACCAGTACCTAATATAAACTAGGCATATGCAATGATTATTAATGTGGAAAGTCAGAGAAGAAATAATGCTACTGTTGGTGTTGGTGATCATACAGCTCTAATGAGTAATAGAGCCCATACTGGTGGTCACAATCGTGGCTATAAGCCCAGAAATAACTTTGGAAACTCATCTCTTCAGTGTGACTTCTGACATCTTAAAGGTCACACTAGAGACGATTGTTACAAACTTTATGACTACCCCACTTATTTTAGAAGCAGAAAATGAGAGGGAGGAACTCTTGATTCTAAAGGTGCATATGCACACACTGCTAGCATAGCACCTGATTCAGCTACACAACAAGGAAGTGCTGCTAATGTAGTCCCAGCATATGGTTCAACAACTGATAGCCCTTCAGCAATAACAGGTGTCTCTTCAGCACCCTTCTTTACTTAGGATTAATACAATCAGATCCTGCAAATGCTGAACAAAGGAAAGCAGGTTGATACTATGGCTAATTTCGCAACAATGAGTGCTACAGGTACTATAACAGCTCTCATATCTCATTTAGTGAGCAATAACTGGATTATTGATACAGGTGCTACCAATCATATGGCTCACATCCTCAATCTACTGAGCAATATTAGAAAGCTATCAGATAGTGATCAGAACTCATTTCAACTTCTTGATGGTGAAAAAGTTATTATCAGTCACACTGGTGATCTATCATTGTTTAAGGATAAATCAGTACATCATGTACTTTATATTCCAGATTTCAAGTTCAATCTGATGTCAGTGTCAAAAATCATAAAAGAGCTAAAATGTCTAGTGGCTTTCTTTTCTGACTTCTGTATATTTTAGGAGCTCTTCACTGGGAAGGTGATGGGGATTGGTAAAGAGGATCATGGTCTCTACATTATGAAGCACAAAGAACAAGATGTTCCCAAGCAGCTTCCAGATCCTAGGCCATTTCATTCCAGTCCTTTTGTAAATACTACTGCTAGTGAGTTTCAAACAAATAATGTTAGTACTGAAAATAAGAATACATCTGAATGTCTAGATGAGACTCTTTTGTAGAATAAGAGGTTAGGTTATGTACCATTAGGAGTTCTAAATAAGATAGAAAGTTTACCAAATGTTCAATTGAAGGAGCATTTATGTACAGTTTGTTCTGTTGCTAAGCAAACCAGAATTCCTTTCTCTTCCAGTAATGCATGTTCTATTAATGCATTTGATCTCATACATGTTGATGTTTGGGGGCCATACAGAGTACCTACTCACAATGGTAGGAGGTATTTTATGACCTTAGTGGATGATTACTCAAGGTTTATCTGGCTTTTCTTAATGAATGACAAGGCAGAATTTATTGTGATTCTGAGAAATTTTCTGTTATTAGTCAAAAATCAGTTTCATTGTAGTATCAAGTGTTTAAGGCCAGATAATGGTACTGAATTCTTTAACAACCAGGTAATAGGACTTCTACAAGAACATGACATAGTTCATCAAAGTTCTTGTATATACACTCCTCAACAGAATGGCAGAGTTGAAAGAAGACATAGACCTATTCTTGATATGGCTAGAGCCTTAAGGTTTCAGGCTTGTGTTCCCTTAAAATTTCGGGGAGAGTGTGATACTTGTTTCACCTCGCATTTTTTTTGTACGTTAAAGTTTCGTCTTCAGTAAATTGACGTAGACTCGGGGATGATATTATCTGGAGGTTAGCATATTTATGCTATTTATAACAAGCGATAAATAAGTATCATGAAGGATAAAGGATACACGAATTAGAGAAAACGAGTTTCGTTGAAAATAACCAATTTGAGATAAAATACGAATCAAGTAATAGTACCCGATAATTATAAATTAGTACTATGCAAGGTACCATATGAGAACGGTAGTATAATGTATAAAGTGATAGTCTTGGTAGTAACTCCTCCACCGTAGGAAGACTATCACTTCTTCTACCACCATATCTTCACCGCCTGAAGGGGGCGCCATGGACAATGGGGCGGCCTCAGAAATTCCTTCAAGAGATCGATGTGACCTTGGCATGCTTTCGTTAAAAGAGGTAGTGGCACAACCAAGAAAAAGAGAAGAAGAAGAAGAAGAAGAAGAAGAAGAAGAAGTTGTGAACGAGGAGTGTGAGAAGAAGAAGCACAAGGTTGTCAGGGCAAGCTCGGAAGATATGAGGAGGGGAAATCAGAAATGAAATGGCCAAGAATTTTCGAAAAAACAAACCCTCCACCTATTTATAGGATTGGGTGGCGCCAGAATCGAAGCGGAAGGT